GAGAGAGAGAGACAGATAGAGAGACAGAGAGAGAGACAGAGAGAGACAGAGAGACAGAGAGAGAGACAGAGAGAGACAGAGAGACAGAGAGAGAGACAGAGAGAGAGAGAGACAGAGACAGAGAGAGAAACACACACACAGAGAGAGACAAAGACAGAGAGAGACAGAAACAGAGAGAGACAGATAGAAACAGAGATACACAGAGAGAGGGAGAGACACAGAGACAAAGACACACACACACACACACACAGAGAGAGAGAGAGAAACAGAGACAGAGAGACAGAGAGAGAGAGACAGAGAGAGACAGAGAAAGATAGAAACAGAGACAGACAGAGAGAGGGAGATACAGAGAGAGACAAAGACAGAGAGAGACAGAAACAGAGAGAGACAGATAGAAACAGAGATACACAGAGAGAGGGAGAGACACAGAGACAAAGACACACACACACACACACACAGAGAGAGAGAGAGAAACAGAGACAGAGAGACAGAGAGAGAGAGACAGAGAGAGACAGAGAAAGATAGAAACAGAGACAGACAGAGAGAGGGAGATACAGAGAGAGACAAAGACAGAGAGAGACAGAAACAGAGAGAGACAGATAGAAACAGAGATACACAGAGAGAGGGAGAGACACAGAGACAAAGACACACACACACACACACACAGAGAGAGAGAGAGAAACAGAGACAGAGAGACAGAGAGAGAGAGACAGAGAGAGACAGAGAAAGATAGAAACAGAGACAGACAGAGAGAGGGAGATACAGAGAGAGACAAAGACAGAGAGAGACAGAAACAGAGAGAGACAGATAGAAACAGAGATACACAGAGAGAGGGAGAGACACAGAGACAAAGACACACACACACACACACACACACACACAGAGAGAGAGAGAGAAACAGAGACAGAGAGACAGAGAGAGAGAGAGAGAGAGAGACAGAGAAAGATAGAAACAGAGACAGACAGAGAGAGGGAGATACAGAGAGAGACAAAGACAGAGAGAGATAGAAACAGAGACAGAGAAAGACAGAGACAGAGAGATATAGAGGTAGAGATTACATATAATTCAACCCTTGTATATATATAATGCATATAATGCACTGAATTCTGTGGGTTGAAGTGCATACATCTTGAAGTGCCAAGGTTGAAAAACACTGGTATATACAATGAAATTTCAATCTAAAACAGATTTGGATCAGTGCAATATGGTGATTCCTGAAGATGATTTGTAACACGGAAATGAACTCTGTGGAAAAGGCTTCATTGGCCACAAACATTAATGAATTTCTTAGGAGGCCCATGTCAGAAATATTTACTGAAATGGCATTTTAGGGAATGTTCTTTTTCTTCAGGGATAATCTTTATTATCCTACTGAAAAGAATTATTTACAGAGGGTGGCAGGAGCTATGTTCCACTGTCGATGTCTCCAAAAACTTCTTTATCCTCCTTTTTTTTTGTAAAAAAAATATGCTAACCACCAAGTCAATCCACTTAAAACCCCATGGAAACTGAGGGAATTCAAATGAAGAGAGAGAGAAGGGGGAAGGGAGGGAGGGAGGGAGGGAGAGAGAAAGAAAGAAAATAAGAAAGAAAGAACAAAAATAAAAAGAAAGAAGTGGAGGGAGGGAGGGAAGAGAGAAAGAGAGAAAGAGAAAGAAAGAAAGAAAGGAGAGAGAGAGAGAGGAAGGGAGGTAGGGAAGAGAGAAAGAAAGAAAGAAAGAAAGAAAAAGAAAGGGGAGGGAGGGAAGAAAGGAAGGAAGGAAAGAAAGAAAAGAAAGAGGGAGGGAGGGAGGAAAGAGAAAACAAGAAAAGGAAAGAAAGAAAGAAAGAAAGAAAGAAAGAGGGAGGGAGGGAGGGAGGGAATATTTTTTGAAAGGTAAAATTATAGAGTTCTGTTCTCTGGCACTGATGTTCCCTGATTATCCAACCCAATCTTTACAAACCAGCAGATGCTGAAAATGCTGTAAATCAAAATCTCTCCTTGGGGTTTCCAACAACTTTGTAATTTCCTTCTGGAGCACCAGGATTATTTTTTTCCTCACTTAGGAAAGTAAGTAGATTTCTAGCAACTTTGATCAATTCAGCATCACTCCAGTCTCTCTCCCTCTCTCTCTCTCTCTCTCTCTTTCTCTCCTTCCCCATTTACAGCTGCGTGATTAATCCTCAATTTAATTTTTTACAAAGAAAGCCAATCCTGATACTTGGGCCCTTTTAATGTGGTTATTTGATAGTGGAGGGCATTTCTCGTATCTGTCTGCTTCATGCTGGACTTCTCTTTGACCCATTTCTGTGCTCCTTAAGAAAATAAGAAAAGGGGCGGCATCTTATAGTGAAAGAATATTTTTATAGGAAAAGCAATCCACAAATGTTCTTGGCTCCAAATGCAGTAACTTTCAACTTTGTGGCTAATATATGGAATTAGCTATATAATCCAGTCTAATGCAAATCAGTTCAAATTATGCCTGCTTCTTTTTTTTTTTTAAGTGAGGTTTTCTTTTATGTTAAGGAAGCAGATAAATTCAACTTTAGCTACAAGATTCTGGAGAAAGCAATTGTGTCCCTTCCTTATTGAGTAAAAGGCCTTCTCATTTTTTTTAAAAAAAAAATTCTTTCTGTTCCCAGACCAATAAAGTACAAGACTTAATCTATGATTGAAGTATCTAAGCTTTTAAAATTAAAACATACAAGCAGAATCGGATTTCGTCAGAAAATACCTTAATATCATCAATCAGCATCATGACATCCTGCGACATGTAGAAATCGCTCAGGTCAAAGATGATTGGGTAGCAAACCACCGTTTTCCCCAGTATACGATAAATCTGTAGAATAAACCATCAATGTTTCAGATCCACGAAACACAGACAATCAGATCTTCATCTTTATGAGAGAAAACACTAAATTCTGTTATAGTTAAAGCTAATCAACACAGCGTTTTTCATTATCGAGGCATTCAAGTAAGCCAAGCTAAAAGTTTTGTGGAAATGCAACACCCCTCCGAGGTGGGGGGAGCTGTTCTGTTAAGATACAGCCTGTTGTGCCTTAAAATGGCTTCTACAGTACAGCACAGTGGCGTTGCCATGGTAATGGCTTCATAGTACTCCACAAGGGGGCTCCCTCTGGTAAAAGGGGGAAATCCAGCATTAGAAATTACGCTTGGTCCAGACATTTCCCCCCTATAAATAAATACCTGGGAAACGCCGGGTGATCAGCTAGTCTTAGATAACATTTGCAATTTCAGTTATAAACCATGCAAAACTCAAAGGGCCTAATTCCTGAAAAGGGATCAAAAGGCTTCGCTCCAAATTTCTTGCCGCGCTTAGAGAATAATTTAGACCCTCTCCAATATTTACGCTAACTAAACCATGCAGAACAGTAATTCTCTGTAAGAACCTTTGATGTTCCAAGACAACCGATTGGCCTGTCGGGTCTTCCAGAGAGTCCCAATTTTTCGTTGATGCCCAGATGGAAATAAGCCTGTAAAACATGATAATGTAAACGTCACACACACAAACACAAACAAACATACACAAACCCAAAGTTCAAAGAGAAGGTCGAGGGTAGAGTGTTTGGGAAGGATGAGGAAGGAGAATTGCTTATTCATTTATTTTAAAGAATCAACTCTCCTTTGTGTTGTGGCCCACCAGCAGTCAGCAGAGCTGGTGGCCGACTCAGACAGTGAGGAGGTTGGGGCGGAACATGGGCAAATCCTGGAGTCTGGGGAAGGCTCTGACGAGGGCTCTGCGTTGGAGGAAGAGATGGGGCCAGGGCCGTCTAACAGTTATCAGCTGCCTTCGGAGTCGGAGATCAGTGGGGCAGAAGAACAGCTGGAGCCTGTTCCCAGTGTACACATGCACAGAGCTGCCAGGAGAAGGGAACAGTTAAGGAACAACTCGGGAGTAAAGCCACAGGTGGACGGTGAATGGCCCCTCCCATAGGGAATAAAGAGGACCAAAAGGGGAGGGGAGTTTGCAGGAGACACTTAGTTCAATTCATTAGGGTGAAGATCTGTTCCTGACTTCTTGCCAAGTAATTACTGCTATAGCTTGGCGTTTGGAAGATATCGGCCTGGCAACCCTCCAAGCCTGATAAAGGTCTGTAGTTGTGAAATCTCTTGAGTTGTTCCTTAACAATACTCTTGGCTGGGACTTTGCTGGAGAGGAAGTCCCTTTAACCTAAATGAAAGGGGTTTTATTAGGACAAGGAGTCTGCTTCGTGCTTTTGGGAAGCCTAGATCAGAACACTTTGGGCAAAATTGATGATCTCGGAGAGAAGAGACGACAAGTGGAGGTGAGATGGAGAGGGAAATGATCTGGAACAGTCTTCAAAAAAAAAAAGAGAGAGAGAGAGAAGAAGTCGTCAGTCGTCACCAGTGCATTCTTCCGGCACATATGATTGCCTCGGTGAACAGATTAACTCTTTAAGAGTTCTAGCCAAAGCTTTCTGAGCCGAGGAGACTGCAGGGAGGCCGGTCAATGATTCTGTAGCAGGATGACCTTTTCAGAAAGTGGAGGTCAACCTCCCGCTGGCATTCTCGGAGCGGTTTGGAAAGAAAGCCAAGCACTCAGAAAGCAAAGAGAAGAACGGCAGAAATCAAAGAGAAACTCCACTTTAAAAAAAAAAACGCATCTGGGAATAAGATACAACTCCCCTCCCCAATCTTTTCTTTGACTTTCATAGAACAGCAGACTCCTATTGAATGGCATCCTATGAAAACCTACTGAATTATGGGGCCAGGCCATTGCCTTTGGCAGTTCCTCATAAATTATGCTACACCCAGAGCTAAGCTGTTATCAGTGCTCTAGGCTGAGTTTATAGGACTCCCTTCCTGAAATAGTTATATGGGATTCCAATTTATCTGAAGGTTCGGTTCAAAGAAATATTGGTGGCATCTGAAGGGATCCTGTTTTCAGGTTTAATTGCTTAACAGAGTTGGAAGGGATATGGGTGCCATAGATACGCCATCACAGTCCTAGAGCAACAAAGCTCCAATTTATGGATGATGTTTGCAGCAAACACTTTCTTCTATTTTTATCAAAGAATCAGATCCACCAAGGAAGAAAAAGTCAGCATAGAGAAATGTTGTGACTCAGCAGAAGTTTGCTGTGAGTTGAGTCGGGATGCAGGAATAACAATGCAGCTGGGGCCCGTTAGTGGGGTTCTGGAGATAAAAGGACTGATGGTGCCACACCCTGGTTGCAGAAGTCAATGTTCATCATTCATTCGTGGTTCATCGTTTGTTTATGGAAAATTCAGTTCCGTTCCTGTTTGAGTTTGTGAGACACTTGGATAAGTGATTTTGCTTCTTGAAA